TGGCCAAACTAAAGCTAAGTGTCCATACTGTTTCACAAAAGTGTTTTTAGAAAGTTTACAGACAACTTTATTCCAGCCCATTAATTCACTATGAATACTTAACACCTTTGATGCACCATAATTTATTCCATAACAAAGCATTGTACTATCAAATGATACACGTACATACTAGTATATATATACTTTGTCAAAATATATTCAATTTCCAAAATAGAAAACTTTCATATAAAAAAAAAGAAAATTTGAAAAAAATGACTACATGTATGTATGAACTTAAATATATACCAGTATATAGCAGTTTCCAGGTCAGTTATTCAGATAAATATACTCACCAATGACAACACTCATACACATCAGATATGTTTGATTCTAAGAACACATATTTGACACTTTAATCTTTATCATACCAAGTGTTGGACAGATATGTTAATATAGATAATTCAGCTACCATGCCATTCAGCCATCTTAGATTTCACATGATTGAAGGTCACAGAAGAATGACAACATTGTTTTTCTCTTTCTGAATTTGATAACGAACCGAATAATATAAATATTGCACATAGAGCCACAATTTACTTCTATATGCTTGCACACTATTGGGCTAATTGACCATTTTACGCCCAGATAAAACAAGCAGCCTATCGGCTGAGATAGCTCCGCTGTTAGCAATGCACATTTCAATTAAAGAACTGAAGACATCATTAGAAAATGAACAATATGTATAGTATCAAAGCAATCGGACTTACAGTTTTTAACAAGAAGTCGAAAATATCACTTTCTACCAAAAATGACCAAAATATCACCAAAATTAGAGAATTGAAGATATCATCACGAAATGAACAAATCTAAGAAAGGTCTACATGTAGTATCTGTATATGTAATATCAAAGCAATTGAACTTTTGGTTTTTAACAAGAAGTCGAAAATATCACTTTTTACCAAAAATTACAAAAATATTCACCAAAATTAGAGAATTAAAGATATCATTACAAAATGAACAAATCTGAGAGAGGTCCACATGTAGTACCTATATATGTAATATCAAAGCAATTGCACTTGCGGTTTTTAACAAGAAGTCAAAAATATCACTTTTTACCAAAAATGACAAAAATATTCACCAAAATTAGAGAATTGAAGATATCAACATGAAATGAACAAACCTAAGAGAGGTCTACCCAAGGTACATATACACCAAGTATCAAAGCATTCAGGCTTGTAGTTTTCAAGAAGAAGTCGAAAAAGTAAAACATTGACACGGACGACGGAAACGGACGACGACCAATCACTCATATGATAAGCTCCGCTCGACAAAGTCGACAGCGGAGCTAAATATGCATATATTACGTGTGCTTATATTAATAGGCATATTTCAATACCAAATAATTAAAACAAATTTAAAGTTAGTGTTTTATAATATTCCAGATTTTGATTCTGCTTAAAATACCTTTTTTTTTTTATGTATTAAGGCATTTTAAAGTGGGTTAAAAAATATCAAACAATTAAGAAAATTTGAAAATTTTGCAATTTCAATTTTGCCATACAAGCGGAAATAATATAACAGAATATATATGCCATCCATTACTGGTCCAAGGTCTATAAATTGAACATGATACAATATTAAATTTTAAAATATTAAAGAAAAACTATTAAAATATTATAAGCAAATCTACAACGATTCTGTGCTTCCTACCTGCATCATTATCCAGTTATCCGATTGGATGTCTTTAACTCTCACCCACGATTCAGGGTCATCCTAGGCTAGTCCACCAATTTCGGAAAATCCAAAACAAAATTGTATTTGTTATAACTATCATTTTTCAGCTCAAAATAAATACTGCATACAAAATGCCACAAACAACATTCAATAGATTCATTCCACTGCATGTACTGTTTTACTATTTTTTATTTTCCAATATTTCCAGAAAAAAAATACCCAAATTACAATATTTAATAATTTATATTAATCTAGTAAATTTTATATTATTAGTTATTTAAAAATTAATGTATTTAATTTAACTAGAAGGCACTGAAAACCTCCACCATAGATGCAAATTCCTCACAAATATTTCCTCCCTACTGTATTACTAGTATTATGTCTTCACATCACATTATTTTTATTGTCATGAGCCTACACTTTTTTTTTAAGAGAAAGACTAAATTGTGTCTTGAATAATTCAATGAATTAGACAATGACAACATCTGGCAATAGTCAAGAATACAAACATTAGTTGTTTCCATAGAAAATTTATCCAGATCTCTTATAAAACCTAATTACTTGGTTTATGTCTGAAAGACGACATCTCCTTAAAATAAAATAAAAATTCATTAACTTGTTGAGTTATTTGGCAATGGATACTATAAACAGTGGTTACTCCTATAAAGGTATTAAAATTACATACCTATTAAACAAATATCCACCAAACATGTGCATAGAAATTTAAAGAATGAAAAACACTTAAAAAAATATGCAGCAAATTATATATCATTAATTACAATAGTTCAAATTCTAAAAGTTAAAAATTACAGAAGAACAATGGCTTTTCAATCTTTCCTAAGATTCTATTTTACAATAAGATATTATTAAAATTATTGTTTTATAATATTTTTTATTCCTTTAAAAAAAGTCCTGAAGAACTGAGTAGCATTTAGATTACATAACAAGGAATGAAACAGTGTTCATTCTTACCATGTAACAAATGTAAATACAGATTTCTATTTTAGAAAAATAAGTATATTAATATGCAAAATTATTAAATGAATTTTATTGTGTTTTTGTCTTCTCATTCGAAAAACTAGAAGATGGATACATCCAAAACAGGAAAAATTGTATCAGACTTGAAAGAATACCCTGTAAACATGGTAGCTGAAATGAAAAACAAAATTGTTAGATATCTTGAATGCTGATGGAAAAATAATTTTCAAATAAACTTTGAAGCAGGCTCACTTATGAATGTATTGTTAGGCCAGACTTTTTTTATTCCTTGTTTCTCGAGTTTTTATAAGGCAATTTTTTTGAGGAGGACGAAAAAAAATAAATAAAATTAATTCTTTTTTTCCATTAGATTTGTGTGATTCTCAAAGAATTGTAAGTAAGATCATTGATCGGAGAGAAGAAATGAAATAAAATTTTATTCCATGTATAACCTTGTTTTTTCGTCTGCCCGAGACATTGGTACTTTGATCATGATACTCTCACGAAAATGCAACTTGGGTTTGTTATGCAGCGGGCGGAAAAAAAATGAAGATAAAAATAAGTTTTTTTAGCAATTTTTTGCACTTACAAGTCGACGGGTACGAGAAATTACGCTGAAATTATATTTTATTTTTATTTCATTTTTGGCTCCTGTTCATTCGGCGGGTTCATGAAACAAGGGATAATAAAAGTCTGGCCTTACCAGTCTATGTCTATTAGAACAACACCTCCAACATGTACTGTATCACCTCTTAACATCTCCAAACAGTGAGCTCTAAATCTTGAATTTTGTTCAATTTGAAAATGCAGCAACCTCACTCAGTCATCCATTAACTTTTTGGGCGCCATACCTTTTCCTGTCAATATGAAATGTTTGAACTAACCTGTATGTAAATATCATCTATAAGGACACCATACACATACCAACAGAGTGATGCTACAAACATAGAGACTGCTGGCATCACTGATAATTTAGAAGATGATTTGCTTTTTACAATATCTGCCTGTAAGAATAAAACAAATTCATTACATTATTCGAAAGTAGCCTACCCGGGGTACATCTAGTTTTATTTATTAAAAAATATCTACATAAAGTGGCACTTATTGCTCTTTCAGATGACATACCGTATTAGAATAGACCCACAAATCTTTATGTTTTGGATTAATTAATTCCATACACGCTTGACTGGGAATATTTTTTAAATAGTTGTTATTCAGATCGCCTGAAGATAGCAATCCCTTCCCAATAGACCATTTTCCGTTCACTGCGAGAATCACGCGTTATGCGTGAAATCGAACGTAAAAACTAGACAAACAAAGGTCATAGCGTCGCAGTGGCGTCAAACATCGCATGAGATTCGACAAACACGAAAGTATTTTGGGGAACATTTCCATGTCAATAATGTGCTGTCCACATTTGATGATGGGCAATTTCGATTAAGTGAGGATATTCGAATGCAATATTCCTCTGTCGAAGATCGGCCGGTCGATGTGCGCTACGAAATAAAGAAATTCGAGTTCAAAATCAAATCGTTCGATTTTTGCGGCAGACGTTCAACGTGCGTCTTTCATGCATCTCGCGAGATCTCGCAGTTGTACGGAAAATCACCAATTTGCAATGTGAATATTGCTCACAAGTTATTATAAATAAAACACCAGTACTAAGTTATACCTCAAAAGAATTTATATTTATTTTCAAAATTTACAATCTATATATTAAGGGACTTGAAGCAGCCTTTCTTGTCCTCGGTCACTTCACTAGCTTATCCTCGCACACTCTACTTGCAAATGCTGTAACCATGAGTCTATAAAAAGTAAAAGCTAACAGACTAGTATGTCTCTAGCCCATAGAACAGTTGCATTAACTTTACAGACATACCAAACAATGTCAATTTTAATAAAACATTGTCATTTAAACTATAGCCCTATTATGAATGAATTTTAACTCACCACTTCAGCAAGAGGTGCAAAACTAAAAGAGACTGAGGTGACTGCTGTTATTAGTCCCAATCTGTCAGCTGCTGTCACTTCATTTTCTACAACATAGTGTAGATAAAAATATAGGGCAGCTAGAAATGCACAGGCATAAGTACATTGCAGTAAAGACTGTGCCTGAAATTATGAATACAAAAATATAATGAAACTTAAATGGGTATACATATATGGTTCAATGGGACTTGGGTAAAAAAGTTTAATGGAATTGAACTCAAAATATGTAATGAAATTTTGGTAAAAAAATGAAACTTCGGCGTATTTAATGTCATATTCCATCACTAGCAGCAATCCATGGGTGTATATTTGGCTATATAGTGCTGGGATGCGATTGCCATTGCTGGCAATATACTGTAATTGGATGAGCATACTTGGTTGAATCGCTAAGAATTGGGGGAAATAATCCAGTATGTTTAATTTAATTGTTTGAACAAAATGATACAAGATATCTTGATCTCAGACTGCTAAAGTGATGTCCATCTAACCAAGAATGTATGATCCCGAAACAAAGCCTTGTTTATCTGTGAGAACAGACAAATTGACAATCACACTAAATCACACAACCTAGGGTACCGGTATTACCTATGAGTATAGTACTTATGTACTAACTTTCAAATGAATCAGGTGATATATAAGTAAATAATCAGCATGGACATTTACAAAACTAAAGTATCAGTATTTAGCAAAATGGTCGCCAGTCAGCCATATTTGATCAAATTGTAATGAAAAGTGTGATGTCCATATGTGAGTCATCATACATTGTCTGTGTGTTAATGTCATTGAATGTAATTGGTCCAAGTATGTCTGGCCATGGATGCACAACGTGATGGAGCTGGGGTCAAAAATGTAAATGAAACTTGGGTAAATACTTATAATACAATGGAACTTGGATCAAAAAATATTGGAACCCAACAGATATAATAAAAATTACCCGGTATTATTTTTAATTTTAGACAAAGACAGTATGCAAATGTGCTTCTAATGGAGCAATTGACTAGAGTGGTTCTAAGTAGTTATGGTAAAACAATTGTAAATATTTAATGAAATAATTATCATATATGATGACTTAATATTTCGATTGTACCTAGTTTTTTTAAAATTTGGTATACTCAAGATATCTGTGGAGCACCTATAAATTGGTTATGCAAATTAGGTAATAATCACACAATTTAACCCTAAATGGAACATGTACTGGTATATGGCTTATCTCCAAGCATTTCACATGTGTATGTATGTTTCATTGAATCTGATGAGTGGTTGAGATATTAGTGGAAAAGATAAATATTGGCTAATTTATATGCAAATTAAGTCCTTTTTATACACAGATTTCAACCAAAAACTAATCAAGTATGCGCAGAATCGAAGAACATCTATGTATCATGTTACATCAAAATCTGTTTAGTGGTATATGAGAAAACGTGAAAATGCTTAAAATTGCCTAATTAATATGCTAATTAAGTAATTGGTATACACAGCATTTCAACCAAAATTACTCAGCACTGTGTATTCTTCCTACCAAGTATCTTTGAAATCTGTTTAATAATACATAAGAAACAAGTGAAAATGCTTAAAATTGCCTGATCAATAGACAAATTAGGTGCAAATTTCAATTAAACCAGGTCTATGCATTATCCCATAGAATCTATGTACCAAATTTCATTAAAATCTGATAATTGGTTCTTGAGATATCAGTGGAACAGATACACACACACACACACACACACACACCCACACACACACACAGATATAGCACAAGGACTTCTATTGTGTGTTTTTGAACATCATACAGTGTATAAATAACTTAGTATAATTATCCAGCAACACATATTTACCTTACGTTCAGTAAATAGTATATAAATAATAACATAAGAAGTCTGAAAAATAGACCCAATTGTGTTAACAACCAGAGTGGTCATGTCTTGCCGCATGAAACCATAGTAGAAGATAGCAAAGGTACTGAAAATGAATCAAATGGAACAAAAAATACAAATAATAAATGAACAAACAAATCAATAAATTTTTATATCACCAACTAAATAAGTACATTCATCATGATTTTAAATGACAGTAACATAGTTAGCTGAAAATGATGAAATAAAAAATAATTCTTGGTCATTCTTGAGTGAAGGCAGAAGGACACTCTGAATGGCTGGATTCCAAACTAAACAGTGACTAAAAATGCTGTTTGAAAAAATAGATGTCTTTATGGTATATTGTTATAACCCCACTAGATCCAAACTCAAAAGAGGGGTATTCTAGTTAAATCCTGATACAGATTAGGAGGATTGAATTTCAAATCATTAAAATTACTTTTCTTTAACAAAAAAAAAAGCTTTCACAACAATTATGTTTTAACTGAAAAAATAATTACTACATATCTCATTAATTATGCATGTAAAGTGCACCAACATCAAACTTGGCCATCGTTGCATATTTGTTTATACCATATATAAATTTTTAACCGATCATGTAAAAATTACTTGAATTATCGCACCCACAAGCGAAAACCAATCAGTAGCCATCTCTCATTAATCATGCAAGCAATATGCACCAACATCGAGCTTGCCTATTGTTGCATGTTTGTTTATACCATATATAAATTTGTAACCAATTGTGTAAAAATTACTTGATTTATCGCTCCCACAAGCGAAAACCAATCAGTAGCCATCTCTCATTAATTATGCAAGCAAAATGCAACAACATCGAACTCGGCCACGTTTGCATGTTTGTTTATAACATATATAAATTTGAAATCGATCGTGTAAAAATTACTTGTCATTGAGTTATCACACCTACAAGTCTTGCCAGCAACAACAACGTCAAAAACTTCCCCTCACTATACCTTCCCCTTCGTTTACACTACACTACGGGTAAGACAAAAAAACAGAGAATGAAATGAACCAAATAAAAATTCATGTTTTTTTATTGTTATTTATAACTAGAATTGATGCTATTTTTCTGAGGATTGCAACCCTGCTATTGTGAATAAAATTTAAATATAACCCCACAATATGAGCATTATTTTGAGGTTGGATTTAATTTGCATACTTGCAGATTCAGTAATACTAATACCTGAAAACAAAGGCATTTGTGTGCTGTAATAAATTAAACTACAAAGTATGCACACATAAATTTTCATGAAATATGATCATTAAAATTCTTGTCAACAAATTATATAATAAAAATAAAGATTGTTTTATATCATACTTACTTAACAAGTCCTATTATAAAAGGTAAAAATGGTATATTGTGTGTGTTCTTCTTTTTATAAATCTGATAACAATCTGGACTGGAATAAATAACAAAGATATAATAACAAGCAGCCTGTCGACTAAGATAGCTCTGCTCAATTAAAGAACAGAAGATATCATTAGAAAATGAACAATATGTATAGTATCAAAACAATAGGATCTGCTGTTTTCAACAAGAATTTCACCAAAAATGACAAAAATAATCATCAAAATTAGATAATTGAAGATATTATTAGAAAATGAACAATATGCATAGTATCAATACAATGGGACGTGCTGTTTTCAGCAAGAATTCGAAAATATCACATTTCACCAAAAATGACAAAAAGAATTCATTAAAATTAGATAATTGAAGATATCATCACGAAATGAACAAATCTGAGAGAGTTCCACATGTAGTACCTACCGGTATATATGTAACTACAAAGCAATCTGATTTGCGGTTTTTAACAAGAAGTCGAAAATATCACTTTTTACCAAAAATGACAAAATATTCACCAGAATTAGAGAATTAAAGATATCATCACAAAATGAACAAATCTGAGAGAGTTCTACATGGAGTACCTATATATGTAACATCAAAGCAATTGGACTAATCTAAGAAAGGCTTACCCAAGGTACATATACATCAAGTATCAAAGCATTCAGGTTTGTAGTTTTCAAGAAGAAGTTAAAAAAGTAAAACATTGACATGGACAACGACGACGAACAATCATTCATATGATAAGCTCCGCTCGACTAAGTCGACAGCAGAGCTAAAAAAGATATATGTTTGTATAAAAAATAAATTTGTCACATGCGGGTTACATTAAATATAAATACTGATAATTTAAATGAATTTTAGGTGAACCCAATTAATACAAATATTGTTTTACATAATCTATAGTCACACTGCTCTCCATTGAAACTACAAATTTGTGATTGAGTAGTAGATTATTATATTAAGCAGTTTTTCAATTGTTGAAGTTGAATCTAGACATTGGGATACTCTATGTAATTACAGCTTCTAACTTTTAAAATTTAATAATTAGCAAAAGTGACACAGCAGAATAAATAAATAAATAAATAAATAAATAAATAAATAAATAAATAAATAAATAAATAAATAAAAAAATAAATAACGCACATAAACCTAAATTCAAATTTGTTATTTTCTGAATCATTAAAATATTATTTATTTTAACCACATACAAACCTCTGTAATTACAATATTGCATGTACTACCAAAAGAGCAAATACGGTAACATATTATTATTAAAATTATTTATATTTTAGTTTTATCAAATTATTTACTTAGCTAGATTTATTATTAACTTTACCATATTTGCAGTTTTAGAAACAAATCTCCAAAATGCTCATAAACCAAAAATTGTATGTCACAAATACTACTAATGAACCTTAGAAAAGAGTTCTATGAATAAATAAAATATGCTATTACACGTGAAAGTGATTAGAAATGTACATTTTTTGTATATGGTTGTAATAAGGTTTTTATTTATCTTTCCACTCTATTATCATTGTTTAATTTCAATTTTGTCTATAGTATACGATTGTTATATCTTCACAGGAAGCAGAATGGCAGACCACAGTCACATAGAGCACGGTAACCGTGCATAGAGGGACTGTGGACAGACATTTAGCAGGGAGCTGTAATGAGCTCATTACAGCTCCCTGCATTTAGTAAGTAATTGAAGTCTGTATAACCATGGAGGTAGAAAAAATAAAGAAATGTATATAAAATAAGACATTATTAAAATTTAATCGGGTAATTCATCATAGAGAACAAAATAGTAAAAAGGGGACCACCACTTGGTATGAAATGACCGAGCCCTAATATTGACAGATTCCTACATCGTCCTACTTGTCGGCAGCGATGAGACGGTCCCGCCCGGTCGGTGTTTTGTACTTACATTTGAGCTCCATAACAAATAACACTAACCACTGTACATGCAATTGAAACAGCAAATATGAGCTCCATTCTGTCCCATACACGCACTAGTATCGGTCACAGTATTAGCAATGATATTCAAAGTTTCGAAACCAACGCACAGAAACTACGAGTATACCATACTAAAGCAGCCCAACACCATGTTTACAATGCAAGTCACCTGACAAACATGCAAATCTGAAACTTTTTCCGTCTGGTCCGCGCATGCGCAATGTAAACAAAATGGCAGACATTTTCTGATTTGCGTTATTCAACGAGGTGTTCATTCAAACTGCGATCATGTCATTGGATAGCCAGGGTGATCTCGGCAATCTTGACAAGAAAACGCAAAACGAACTAGTAGATTTGTTGACTAGACAAGAGAAGCTACTAGCTAACCCGTAAGTCAACCACGGTGATTCGAGTTTCTAAGGGGTTGGCCATTAAAAAAATGGGGGTGGCGATGGTGTACAACAACATGTGTGGTGCAAATTTTATTTTATTTTACAGTGATTTTGCTGTAAAACAAATTGATTGCTTCATGTATGAAATATGTTTTTTTTTTTAAATATTTGTTTTCTGTAATTTAATTCCTCGTAGATTTTTTTTAATTTTTTGAAAAAAATCTACCCCTGAGTTTTTAATGGTACCAGAGGTATATTACTTGGGGTTTGTAACTACGGTGACATGAAACCAATATTCCGTTTCAATCTCGCTCTCGCATAAGCGTTCCAACTCAGAAAAATGCGAATGCGCATGCCGAGGTAACTAGGATACTGAGATGTCCAGGTTGATCAAAATAGCTGCTCACGGATGACGGATTACGATAACAGTATTTTTTGTACATTTTTGATGTATTACATTTTTTCACTATGAATGTGGTAATACATGTTTTATTGTTTTATTACAAACCGCCTTTGCCATGTCAGAAGGTCGTAGCATCAGTTTCGCTATCTACGAGATGAGACTTGAATGGGATCTTGACATGATGTCACCATACAGTACTATGCGCGTTGCAAACCCCAAGTAGTGTACCTCTGATGGTACTTAATAACCCCTAACTCCTGTTAAATCAATGATGCTGGCGCTATTATGGACAAACACATGTCAATTTTCCACCCCAAAAAGTCTGCAGTAATTACAAATGACATGCATTCAAGGTCCACCATATTTATCTTTTCGGAACAGAACATTACTGTAGTGGTCCATCCATTACAAAATTGATACATCAATGGCCAGTTTAAATTTATGAGCTATACAGTGACACAATCTTTTGCTAACCAATACTGCATCAGATTTTCAAGCCATTGCATCCATTACAATGTGATTAAAATCTGTTGATTCAGTAGTGGGTCTTCCATCCACTATCAAATGCCTGCCTATCATTTTAACCTTTATAGATCCAGCATCCATTAAATTCACAAATCTAACAAAAAAGCAACTGTGCAGGAAATACCAAATAGTGCAGAATTAAGTGCTTCACACTTGTTTTTCTGTACTTAAAAACTTTTTTTACTTTCGAACCAACTTTGACTTTCACCCTAACTTCTAGACTTTCCATCCAATTTTTTTGACTTTTCATTCAAATAATAATTAGAAGTTATTAATGGGAAATACCAAAGATAACATGTGGTATTTTGAGAAGCATGTTGTACAAGTACATGTACAAATATCAGCACTGCTTCTCCAAAATACTGCTATTCATGAAAACGACCTCATTATTAATGTGCAACAGCTCCAGCAAGAAAAACATGAAACAGATCACAAGGAGCGAATGAGTATGAAAAAAGGAGAGCCAAAACTCGCAGCAGTGATGGAGAGCATTTTGTGTCATTAAATATTCTCATACTATTTGGTAAAGTTATGAAACAAATTTGATTCTGTATATTATACTGCTAATATGACATTTTTTTTTAGAAAATTCTTGCATAGATTACCTGATAAAGGGGCTAAGATAAAACAGTTTGCCAAGAAATTGCAGAAGCTTATTGAAGATAGAGACAAAGTAGAGGACACTGTGAAACTTTTGGAAAAAATGAGAATTGAACCAGAAATAAAACAAACTACAATGCAGAGTGGAGAGTTAGACAGCGATGATGATGATGACATTGATACACAGGAGACAATGCTAGTAGGTGAAGTGAAAGAAAGAGTAGGAATGGATATGGAGGTTAAACCTAGCAATGGAGTGAAACCAAACCAAAAGGAATCTAGATTCAAGAGAACATCATCTGACAAGAAATTTGCAACAGACAATGTTTTCCTGACAATGGGAAAAGCTGAACCCAAAAAACAAACATTCAAACCATACAGGACTTTAAAATCAGACAAAATCCCAGACAGTTTTTTGAGGCCAGCCCCTCCCCCAGATAAAATCAGAGAGAGGTGTGCAGTGGAGGAGATATCAGTGGTGAAACCACCCAAAATTGAACACTCTGGTGGAGCCAAGATATTAGATCTTAAAGAATCTGTTGCATTGGAACAAAAACAACAGAAAATATACGAGGTGAGATTACTGTTGATTAAAGAAACTATTATTGTTCTTCTTTTTTCTGATTGCTCTTGACACGCATCTCATGCAGGAACATTATATTCAGTTCATTCAAATGCAAGTGATGAAAACCTCTGATAAAAGACCCCTGTCTTTCAAAATTGGGAATGTGAGGCGCACATACCATTCAGTTTTCAATTCTAAAACAACAGAGGGTGCTGTGTAGTATACCAGGGTAAATGAAAACAAAGTTTCGGTGATGCGCACACCGACGAGAAAATATAACGGTAACATAATTGCAGATTATTATCACAAAGTGTCTTGAATAATTTGATTTTCTGAACTTCTTGTATTCACTAGCTTGTCTGTAAATGCATACCAGTTTTTTAACAGATCCCTGAAAACTGATCGTGATGTAACACTCCTGTTTTTGTTTAATTTTGGCCGCAAACCAAATTCAAAAGTTCAGCAATCTTGAATTATCCATGTCAGATTCTATGTTTAGTGCTGTGTTGCAGTATTTTGGGTGTATAAAAGGTATATATCTGCGTCCCTGTTATTTTTCGAATACTGTAACCACTGCATTATGTACCGGTATACGTCTATGTGTTCCATTGAAATATAAAGACAATACAACTTTACACCTGAAATGAAAGCATGCGGTAAGTCTTGGGCATACAAAAACAGCAAACACTAACATGATTCTGTGGCATTGGAATCATACCACTGTTGACAAATATTGCTATGTAATTTATTAATTATTCATTTAAGTAAGTGACTTTTGGTACTGACATCGCGTTTGACATGATTGAATATACAAGGCTAAAGGTAGAGATATGCAATTTTAAGGCCTACAGAGTCTTATTTTCGGTAGTGAAACAGGAAAACAGATGGAGGAAGCTGGGGTAGAAATTAAAACAAAAGGTCTTACTTTTTCAAGTATTTACTCTCACTTCTTTTTTTTAATGACACTGATCGATTTATCTTTGCAGGAAATCCTTGCCAAACATGCAGCCGAGAGACTTACTCAAAGAATAAATATCACCATGGAAACCCACACTCTTACTGATTTAAAGTATCCTTTTATAAATACCTGTAAATTGCTAACAGTTTGCATTCTCTATATTTTCATTTAATTACCTAAAATTTGGCTCAATACTAAATAAAATAAAATGAGAATATGAGGTTATTCACAAAATAACGAAATTTACATTCGAGTGCATCATACAGCGAGTGTATTGTCAAGGCAGTTGATATTTAATGTTGATCGCATCTTCTGGTCGTTACTGCATCTTAAAATATAAAATACATTTGCTAGGCAGTTAATTTGCTTTTTGTTTTCTGTGATCAGATGGAGAAGTCAAAAGTCAAACACAATAACAAATTATTGTAGCATTGAGCCCCATTACGGAGCTAGGAGTATAATAATACTACCGGTATAATAACTCGTGCAGAAATATGGCTGATTGAAAGCTAATTTTGACTACAGTGTACAGCATACAAGTCTTTGTAGTTATCCTCTCTGTATGATCAGATTTTCAATTCAATTTAGGTACATAGGTTCACAGAAGTAATCAACAGACCTAATGATTTTAGGGTTAAACTGTGAGAATATTAATAGCCTAATTAGCACATTTCTACTGATATACAATCAAATTTATTATTTTCGTTATAATGCATCTAGAGTCTTCAACACTGACTTGTGCCTTCAATTACTGTAGAATACTTTATTTTCGCTTGGAATTTATTTTCGCTATTTTCGCTGAAGAGATGATTCCGTGAAAATAAAATCCAGCGAATATACTTTAAACTCATCAAAAATCAGTGAAAATAAATTCCATACAAAACGCCCAAAAAGTCTTTTCAGCGAAAATAAAGTATTCCACAGTATTCCACAACCCCTAAAGAGATTTAAACTTTGACGCCAAATCCAAAAAATATCTAGCACTGATAGCAGAATATATTCATCTTTTTAGCTCTGCTGTCGACTTTGTCGAGCGGAGCTTATCATATGAGTGATTGTCCGTCGGCATCGACGTCCGTGTCAATGTTTTACTTTTTCGACTTTTTTGAAAACTACAAGTCTGAATACTTTTATACTTGGTGTATATGTACCTTGGGTAGTCCTCTCTCAGATTTGTTCATTTTGTTATATCTTCAATTCTCTAATTTTGGTGAATATTTTTGGTAAAAAGTGATATTTTCAACTTCTTGTTGAAAACAGCAAGGTTGATTGCTTTGATACTATACATATTGTTCATTTTCTAATGATATTTTCAGTTTTATTAATTGAAATGTGCATTGCTAACAGCGGAGCTATCTCAGCCGACAGGCTGCTTGTTTTTAATTTGATCCAATATCATCGACTTGGAAATGCATCTGGCTATTTTGTCATATTATATATTTAAACAAGTCTTCTGAAAGTAGCCTTAAAGTCAATCACTCATAAATTTTGAGATCTGTTCCAGTACTGTCAACAGACACTATATGTCAAAAAAATCCACTACTGTCAGTTACTGCAATGCAAATGTCGCTACACATATTATGCTTGGGGGTACCTGAGATTTCACCACTAATTCATTTTTACTCTAATGAACAAATAATTTAACTATAAAAATCACTTTTGTTAACCTTGACTTCAATTTTCAGTTACCGTGAGGTAGGGGATGATGATAGCGAGTCAGAAGATGAGACTAATGATGTAGATGACTGACATGGTTAAAATAAACATCATCTTGACTCAATACTGATGCGTACTTGGAGCATACCACGGCATTAAGAAATCTATGAAACATGCTTTATGTGAAACCATCAACTTTTATTAAACAGATACTAAAGTATTAGACATGAATATTGCACA